TATTCGCTTTATTAGTCTTATCCACTTTGGTGTAGGCGCTCAGGTCGTCATCCTTGCCCTCACCGCACTCCTTGTCTATGGCATCCATCTGCACAACATATTTACAATTGGATTGTTAGAAATCATTTAAAATTATTTGCTTAGACATCAAATATGTATTTTAATTAGAAAGTTTAATATATAAGAGTTTAATATAACCAAATATCAGGATTATTTAATAACCGCACATAATTGCATCTAGGTGAGGTTCATAAATATTGAAATATAATAAGTTAGTGTAAATATAAGAACAAATGTAATGAATAATGAAATGAAAAGGGGTGACCTTTTTCTCAATCTCCTCGGCCTTCTCGGGATTAAAGATATACTTCTTCTTACAATCGGACATTTTGTTGAGCACAGAGTCGTCCACTTTGTCGGCGACACACAAACTGGTCTTCATGTCTGTGTGAAACTGCTTCCAATCATCGCCAGCCCAACAGCACTGGTAGCCCACAGACAATAGCATACTTAATACTAATAGACTATTCATTTTTAATATTCAATTTATGATATAATATTAATTTATAATATAATTTTAATTAAATAAAAAAATTATTTATGTTTGATTTATGTTAATAAAAAATATTTCACCTTACTTATATACTAAAATTATGTGCCATGTGTCCGCTATGTAAATTTTAATTCATATTTCTGTATTTATTTAATTTTTTAATTGTTAAATTGATTTATTTTTAACGAAAGTTTTATTCAAAAGTCAATCATAGCTACACATTTTGCGACTGTTTAAACAATTTTAAGTTTAAAATGACATCCTATTTGCAATGCTATTATTATATACATGTTGACACATTAGGCAATCTGGACTCCTCAATAAAGTTTTCATGTCTTAAAATATTTCACATGTTTAATCAGTTATTTCAAATAAAAAATAGCCTAGAAAGCTTTGACGTAAATAATAATTTATTTTAATAATTTTATAATAAAATATAAATGTACTTAATTTATAATTAATTTGTGATATGAATGACATATAATTATAAATATAAAATAATTTTAAATTTATTATATTCTAAATAACTATTTATTTAAAATGACTGATCATTTTGTATCAGATATGACATAATATTATACCAATATAATATTATATTTAATAATTTTTTGTACATTTATTTGTATTGACAGGAACTTTAATTAAATATAAAATTGTATGCACAGTAATCAATAATAATTAACTAATAAAATTCAATCTACAATTATTATAGAAATAATAATTGCGATAATAAATCATTTTAACAATAATAATGTCTTGTATATTATTAATTCATATTATGTTTCGTAAGACTAATTATAAATATACAGAATATTCTATATTATGGATTGTGACAAATGAACTTGTTAATTATATGAAATTAAAGAATTAATAAGTAAATTTGTGCAATTTTATATTGCTCAAGTTAAATACATACAATAACGATAGAGTACTGTAATTTGGACTCAATCTATCGCCCATAAATGTTTAGTATATCGTAAAACACCGGTATATCTGTATTACAACTTATAGTAAGTTTATTTAAACAATTTAAAGGTGTGACATAAACATGTGTGAGTACATCATTTCATAAATTATTTAAATTTTATCTTAAATATTTTGGTTCAACAGTTATAATATTTATATATAAGCACTAAAGAGCTAATAATACCGGTGCCAAGTCCCAGGTATTCCAACCCTTTCCATTAAAAAAATCTATGCGTTATCTAATAGTTTTCTATGTAAGCCCTCGACTAGCGTATAGCCCAATGACAGTGTCTTTTGATATTTGACTTAACATTTATTTATGAAAATATTTTCGAGAAATTAATATAAGAGCATAAAATCAAACCAAATATACTCCACATTAAAACACTATTAATTGTGTTCAATGTTATACGAAATACTTTATTAAGTGTTAACATTAAAAGCATAGATTTAATAGTTATTTGTAATACACTTATAATAATAGTGATAATAAAAATGTTTTCATAAATTTCAAACAGATTTGTTAAAACAATTATCTCTTATCAGTAGACAAACTATTGCTGTAAAACACACTAATCTACTCAACAGTATAGCCGACAGTCCCATACGAAACGGTAGTCTACTGGCTATTCAGCATTCAATTGTCACAAATATTTATTATGGTCTACAATCTCACCTATGTTACATTTATTAGAGTACATGTGGTACAGTACTATACAGTATTACATTTACAACATATTACAAATTATACTAAGAGTACTGTACAATAGTATTATAATAGTAATATAATCTACTCTATTACCGGTTATTACAAGCAATACCTAACATGTGATTGCATTATAAAAGGGTGTGTTTTATGCGAAATATTACTGAAAAGTTTATAATTTCTTAGATTTATTGCTGTTAAGCATATCTAATGAAATACAATGTCAGCGTTGCTGATAATTCACAAATTCACTGGAAAAGTGCTATAATTAACAAAACTAACTGTAAAGTAGTCCACATGTGCTAATATAACTGCTTATGTTCATCGTATCCGGCATGGTCTAGGGGTTAGGATAGCTGGCTCTCACCCAGCAGGCCCGGGTTCGATTCCCGGTGTCGGAAAACTTTTTTGCATTTTATATTTACTTTTTAATACTATTTATTATTATTATTATTGTTGCTAATTTAATATTATAAATGACAATATGTTTCTGATAAAATCAAAGCATTTTGTATACCTTTAATAAACAATTTATATATTTTACAACTTCCTTATTTATTGAAATGGACTACAAGTTATCTATTTGTATTTTACTGTATTTGATATGTTTTATCATGGCAAATAATCACTATGTTTAATTGGTTAAATACAATTATAAATTGTTACTGTTTACACTTTATATAAAGCATAGTGTGATCAAATTATTTACTAATTTCTATTTACAACAGATTTATAAATATCAAGCATTTAAATAAACACAAACTACATAATAATGTTTGCTATATATGATTTACTTTGATATAGCGTACACTTTATTGTATACCTATCAATGATAACAACTTAAATGTTAGTATTGATTGCATTATTTCGAAATACAGTACTATAATATTTTACATCGATATACTGTATTAAGTAATTTAACAAATTTAATAATAAAATACTATATAATTATATACGACTACTAATAAGTAGGCAATAAAAGCCATTTGTCATTGCTTTTATACATACTGTACTCAATGTGCCTTTGATTGACTGGCTGTTTGTACGAGTATTACCGTATAATTCATCATAAAACAGAATATCTATTCAAATAAAAGAAATATAATTAAAAAATAAAACATAAACTTTTATATTCACTCATAATTACAATACCGTTAATAAAGTAGTTTTCTTAAGGGGTGCGAACCCGCCTATAGTGAACCCGAACCTCACCTCCCGGGCCATTGTCTTAAACGTGAGTAACTGTCTGAACTCGTGCTCGTCCAACATCTCGGGTGCCATACCGTCGAGTATAGTCATTATCTCTTCACTCTTGGTGTGCAGCAAACCATTAGACCAACAATTGATCACTAGTTTAGAGATTTCCGATAGAGTGCTGAACGCGAATAGAGTGGCGTATTGTTTGAGGAGAGGGTCGTTTTGGGCCAATGAGTAGATCATCACCATTATGACCAATATGGCCACCGATATGTCCACCACATTCACCAGCGATAGGGTCTGGTCCAGGGATAGTATTTTGCTCCGGATTTCAAAGAATAGGCGCCGGTTTGCCGAGAGCTGATTGTAATGTTTGTCATACGGCTTGCTATGAGATATACTAGTATTTTGCCATAATTTGTAGTTTTTGTGGTCAAACATTACTGGATGTGTCTTTTCTATGTGTATACAAATCAGTTTGATTTATTAGTTTAATTTGTACAACTTTATAATATAGCGATTCATTATTAATGAACATAAACTATTAACTAGTGAACTAATTTTCATGATTTTAGAACCTAATGTTATCACAAAATATCGTTAACTAGTAAGCATTTGTTTTACAAAATACTTGTCGAGAATGTGGTTTAGATATGAGTTTCAAAATTCATGAGTACCTTGATGTATTGTTTTATATGAGATTATATCGAGCAGGTTAGTCTCGATGTCCTTAACTTTCTCGTAGGCGACCACTGATATATTCCACATCAAAAAGCTAACCGACCATCCAATCGAAAATGTGAGAAATCCCTATATTATGCAAAAATTTACATTATTATCATTTTAAGAGTAAAATACTTGAAAAATATTGTTAAAAATATGTCTAACACTAATCAATATAAAGAATATTCTCGAAAAGTTAATGGACTGATCGCCGGCATTGTAGTCCACTTTTAAGCGATACAACTGATAGCCTCCCACCGCAAATGGTACCACTATGTGGGCCAACCATGCGATAAATATGACAAACACTCTCTTAGACATATCGACCCGATAGGTGAGAAAGAATTTAAAGAACTGAATGCCATATATCTGTAGGAACCAGAAGATGACAATACACCGGAACTCTTGGCATATCTTTAAGATGAGGGACAGGTAGAAGTTGACTGTAAAGCCATTATTGTAAAGGCTTTCCATGAGTGGGGTGGACAGGTATAAATACACTGATAAACAGTTGGCGGCGCCCATTAGCAGGCCAAATAATACCCCGTAATACTTGAGCCATACATTAACCCCCACCTCACCGGCAGGTGAAATGGTTACACCACCGAACGTAGAGTGCAGTATCCGGTAGTACCATAAAAATACTTTCACCCGTAGCATCATGGTAAATATTTTAGTAGTAAATAATTTATTTAAATTCATGATTTTAAATATTTTTTATAAACACTATGAAATACGTGGACTTATAATAATAAAAATTATTTTACAATATACTTGACATTATTAACATATTACTAGTATTATATTGTATTATTGTTATTGTTCTTAATATTACTTTGAATAAACTTTAGGCAAGAAAGACATTGATTATTACAAATATAATTTTGTTATTATTTTTACGCTATTATTATGTAATCGATCAAAATTATATTATTGTACATAATTAATATTATGATTGAATGCACCAGTTCAATGTGTACTGTGCTATAAGATATATTTATACATAGTTTTATTTAATAATTATGTAATAATTTTAGTACATTATGTATTTGGAATATTCATCCAGTACATGTTTACTATATAATAAATTGAATCTAGAGTTAAATGCCACTGTGATGGTAAGTAACACCTTGGATAAATTCTAATAATTACTATGTCCTTGAGCAATATAAAATTGCACAAATTTACTTATTAATTCTTTAATTTCATATAATTAACAAGTTCATTTGTCACAATCCATAATATAGAATATTCTGTATATTTATAATTAGTCTTACGAAACATATAGGCGCCGATATTGGGTGTCATCATACGGCCCTTCACTTTCAACACATCGAACCGACACGTTATGATGGACTCCTCCGTAAGACAGGGACCCGTGAAGTTGAGCTCCTGTCCCCCTAACATCAGTATATAATCGGTAGATGTATGCAAAGGCTGAACACCAAAAACACGAGAATTTTATTTCTATACCATATAAAAATCACTTTAAAAATCTACTATGACTTACGAGTCTGTCCGGCAAATTAGGGTCCAGCTCCTTGTTGACACAGGCACCTGGCTCCAGCTCCTCGTCTATTGTGAAGTAGAAACGACCCTCAATGCCATTACCCCAACCCATCTTAGGTAACAACGATATGCGAGGGTTTTGCGAAAAGGGCTGATATTCGTATGCCTGCGTTGAGTTGCCGCCATTGAAACCAATCTATCATTTCATTCATTAAATTATTTATATTGTAACACAAATTCCACATAATTCATGATAAATAATTACAATATGCAAGCGATACGTTGTCAACAAATTAACTATTATATATTCGCACTTATTTGTTGATTTAAAATATCAATTAGCCTCAAATACTTACAAAAGCTGGCGGTCCGTTAAGGCCGGCATAGTTGTCCAGGTGTGTTATCCACGATATGTGCTCGTAGTTAAACATCACAAATGTCACCATCTCATCAGTGGCTAAAACCATTTGGTATGTGTTTGTCTGCACAAAAAATATTAATCAAAAAAACTTTATTATAAATATAAAAACTTTTATAAAACTATTGGCATCTATTCATCTAAAATTATGCGTTTTATATAACAAAACTTTTTGATGAAAAAACTTTCTATATTCTATGCTAAAATCTACTTAGGGAAAGCATACCTTGAGCTCCCGTTCCCGTCTACGGTTAGCGAATGTCATGTTCTTCCAGGTGACTATTAGGGCAAACTTCGGGGCCCATCCTATAGACGCGGCCATAGCTGTGCCGAAGTCGTCGAGCAGTCGCTGCTTAAGCGATATATTGGTCTCCTTTTCCACTTCAATGACCCGGAAGTAGACGCCCGACCCGTCCACGTCCGACGGGATGTCCTGGTGGGCGAAAAAGGCGGCGATAATCGAGGGGTCCTCCTCCACATTGGTGTCACTCGGAACCATTGGGAACTCCAATGGAAAGGCATAACTCTTGAGACCCTTGTTGAAAGTCACGTACCCATCCTTGTGAACCTGTAAGCCAGGAGACAGGTATGTTTCATATATCTGGATTCTAGTTTAAAATACTGTATTATAGTAACCAAGCTATTTGTTTGAATCTTTAGTAAAGTACTCAAAACTATTTCTGGAAACTTTGATACTGGTGATATTATGAATCATACAGTAGAATACTGTATTACAGTATAAGTTTTTAACTAATATTTTTCATATTAAATTTGTATTGTTAAATAGCATGGAAATACAGTTATCATTTTTACACAAGCCTCTAAATTAGATTAAAAACAGTTTTGTTAAAAAACTCTATATTATAATAATCCTAAAATAAATCATGATTTACTATAAAATTAACAAAATATAAGAAAAGCCAAACTATACCCAAACATAGTTAAAGGCAAACCCCGAGAAGGGGAGCCGGAAGGTTAGGGGCTGGTCGTGCATCTGCTTCATTGAGTTAATGCCGTGACAATAGTCTTCGGTCTCGTAGGGGTACATCAGTTGATGAGCCCATTCCTCAGGCATTAACCCGACTCCCGGTCCCGCCTTTTCAACGCGATTCTGTTCGTTGAAGTAGTGATTCTGTCGCAGGGGATCGCCCGCCCCCGGTATGCCTTGAGGGCCGGTATCCACTCCATTGTGTATGCCGTCGTTTCTATTGTGGTGATGTATGTGGTGTGGCTTATGATGGGGTGCGTTCGAGTTCACTGGACAGGTAGGTTATTGCAAATATATAATAGGTATCCATTGAATAGATGATATAAATTGTACAGTTATTAACTTATTATCATTTAAGTTTTAAAATATTTTTACAACTTTTAAACAAAATTATCTATTATATACCGTATAACTACTTAATTATATGAGAATAAATGTAAGCTAAAAGTTTTAATTAAAAATTATATAAAAATAAAATCTTTTTTATATAATTTAAAAACTAATCTACATTAAGAGATACCGGTACTAAAATATATTATAAAATTCAGAATTTATATTAAATAATTTAAATACAAACCTTTAACAATGAATATGATGCAAAACACAATCAATATATTTGATAGAGAGTTTGTTAACATTATTTAATGGTTTGTTATGATTACAATAACTGAATTAATTATTTGTTTTTATCACACTGAAATACAGTGAATTGAAATTCAAAAAGTAATTTCATATGCATAGACAGA